CTTGATAATATTTCCATAAATCATTAATGCATCTAACACTTCTAGGGTTGTTAATGGAGCACTCCGTTTACTCCATTTTAATAGTAATATTCCAGAGTATTACTATTAAAACGGAGTCAACACTAAAACTAATAGCAGATAATAGATAGTGTTCCCAGTTGGTACGTACGTAAATTTTGCCAATCCAACTATCGCTATAGTTGCAACTAATCGATTTTTCATATCATCAGAAGAAAGTATTGTCACTTGGATATTTGGCCGGCCATTGATCAAATTTAAAAAAATAATTTGGCCAGAAAAGCTGGCAATATCTATATGATTGGCTAATATTATATAAGCTAGCGTTAGAAGTTGGATATTGGCCATCGGCCAAAGGGTCAAAAAAATATTACTGACACTGACATTGACGGACGAACAGTGGAAACCTTGATACACTATTTAAAAATTCGTAATTCAAATTTTATTATTTTCCGTGATAATATTTAATAAAAGAATTTTTGCATTGTCAATAATAAAACCTTCATTATTTTTCCTTAATAAATGACATGATCGTAACCATTTTTAGTATAATATTCGTAAGTGAAGTTTTTTTGTTTAAGAGAGATATAAAGACCAATTTTTTCTTTATAGGTTTTTCTAATTACTTTTTTTGTAAAATATATCATTAATGATTTTAATCGGTAAAGCAGCATGACTTTTGATTAACCGTAGACATTAGAACATCAATAGTTCTTTGCCGCTTTAGTGTAACTAGTTTATTATTGTAGCTAAATACAAAATTTTACATACCAACGTAAAAAATAATGAGATTGTTTTTTAGAGATTAGATGATACACCAAAAATGATCATGTATATATATAATTTTTCATCAATGATTTTTGTTTTCTATGAGCCATTATAATAATTATTCCATTTCAACTGTTATCTAGTATTAGATGTTAATTCTTCATTCGCAAATTCTGTATAATTTTTGATATGCCTGGACCGCCGATGCTTTGCTCTTTGGTATTTATATGTGAGATTCATAATATCCTAAAGTTGAACAAATAAATCAATCATCATATATGAAAATATTAACACATACAAAAACCACGAACCTTTATGACTATAAATAGACATCCACCAAGAACATTGCGGTGAAAAGTGTCTGGTATACGTGAGCGAATAAATGAAAAGCGACCAAGGAAGCTATTGAGAAAACATATAATTGTCAATCGCATATATAGCCGTAAATACATTATGAACAAGAAATCTGTATATTCACCTTCCAACCATAGCAGAAATAACTATTGCATATGTAATAAAATAATTAATTATTACTGAGTGAGAGCAATATAAAATACTTAAAATTATCTTATAGACTTACATGGCAAGCACAATGCACCAATAATTTTGCGTCCAGCATTGCTTCTATCCAAACGATCCAACATATCTTGATTCTCCCGACGTCGTTCATTACCATTTTCACCATTTTCAGAATCTGTCGTAACTGAATATGGTTCGAGCTGTCTACGCCATGATTGCTCAAGTCGACCAAACAAACGAGTATAAGTATAATTATAAATTATTCTAGCCCATGGTAAGAGAGAGATTGTAAGAGATGGGTTCAGAGGCATTGTAGTTCTTAATTGATCGTATCTGATGAAAAGCATAGGGATAAGTGGCATCACCGGATCGGCAATACGAGCCCTCGAAAAGATAAGCAACATCGGAACAAGAGGGAGAGTAAACTATTTATAAATATCATAGAATATATATATATACGGTTTCTCGTTAATATAATATCATTCATATACATCAATTATTAGAGATACTTACACAGATCCTCCAGCTCCAAGGTCCTTCCAAAAGTCGTTCGCCATCTTCGAGGCCAACCATCGTGATTACTGCATACGCTCTAAAACAGTTAAAAAAAATCGTAAATATTTATTATACTACGATAATTTTAAATTATCATGGTTTCTACTAACCCATAGTGAATATTTGTAACTGCGATAGCGAAAGTAACACCGAAAATAGTGAAATATGGAATCGAAGATTGGATTGCAGAATCAACGATAGAAAAAACGCGTAAAAGAAGGGACGCTCGCTCGGCGAGATGGTATAAGGTTCTGCATTGAGGGCACCGTACCTATTAGAATGAATTTAAGTGTCAGTAAATTTTAATTCGGTTAAAATAAGTTTAGATTATTTAAGACGAACCTTCTTTAGCGCAGTGCTTTTCTGGTTTTCTGTAATCCAAGCAAGCAAACATTCTTCGTGACATATAAGAGAACATTTACAAGGTCGGACCCATTTACCCACACTGTCGGATTCTTCGCCAAAGCAAATCCAACACCTTTTATCTTTTACTTCTTCAGGCTGCATTAGCGAACGCACATCAGGAATTATTTGAGTCGATGTTGATGCATTCCCTGAACTCGTCTGAGTTGTTGCTGATAAGTCATTGATTCCTGTTCGATCGTCATTACGAGTATTCAGTCGATATGGGTCGTTCTCTACAACTGCTGATAATTCACGATCAATGCGAACGATTGGAGGAAATGGCGTTGATGACATAAGAATAAACAAGTTTTGTCAAAATAGTTTATGGGTATACTGTGAAAAAAAAAAGAATGTTTTTTTATGAGCAAAGTGAACTCACAAGCGCAATAATTGTGTTTTGCAATACCACAATCGCTTCTATGTTGGCGTTTAAATGTGGTGATTGGCAATATATAGTAATATATAGTGGTACTATAATTCCTTTCTCTTTGCGCTAGGTGAGATAAGACTACTCGTAATAATAAGGATCTATAGAAAAGCAAAAAAAAAAACTTACAGAATGTTTAAAAACTAAAGAGGTTTAAAAAAGAACGTGATTGTCGTCTTCACTATTTATATTTATTCAATATGGCAGAACGTGACTTCATTGATTTTAATTTGGCGGATCAACCCCAACCCGTATCTATGGTGCAACCTTCTATCTAACTCAGTATACTTTGAATCGCAAGCATAATGACGACAACTCCAGCGGCCTATGCTGCAAAAGTAGTGTCCTCTTCCTCATTTTCAGAAGCACGTTCAAGAGTACTCTCTTTATATAGAGATTGGCAACGGGCGGTAAAAATATTACTAATTTCCGTTTCAATGCTGAACATTGTACAAGTACTAGTTTTTATCAGATTCTTATTCACAAGTTTATTTAAGAAAGGCTCCAAAAATAGTTCAATCATATCTTCTTGATTTTCCCGTAGCAACGGCACGTGCGAAAATCAGAGAAGAGTTTGAAAAAAACCGTTATGTTAGCGATTTAAGGGTAATTGACGTCTTGATTTTTAAAGGCCGTGCCGAATATCAAGAAACCCTTAATAATTGGAAAATGGACACGCATATCATGAGATACTTTTCGAAAGACGAATCACCTCCTAAGCCCGAAGGTTTTCTGGAAAAATTTTATGGTATAGGATTTAATTTTGGCTCATAATTTTTTTCAATATCATTCTTTAATAACAAATTTCTTTCAAAGAGGGTCGTGACTAGTGGTCGTAGTCGATTAAAGGCTTATAAGCTTAGCCGAGTCGATAATTTTAATACGGCTTAATTTGTTATCTCTAGAAATTAAATCTTCCAATAATAAACTATAATCTGGAAACTCATGCTGCCCACAAAATTTTCTTAAAACTTAGACAAATTTATTTGAAAAATTAAAAAAATTAAAATAATATATACAGTATCTTTACTTTTGCAAAGTAAATTTTATATAAAGAAAAAAATAAATAAATGTCGCGGATGATCGTGAAATCGGATGATGGTGAAATTTAGGGGTCTCGATTTGAAAATATAAGCCCTACCAAAATCCACCTATACTCTTTTACTAATAACTCTAACCCTAAATCCTAACTTAACTATAAAAAAAAAGCCGACAAAAAAGGCCCCAAAAATTTTAAAAATCGTACATAAAATAGACCCAAATTTTACCATCATCCGATTTCACGATCATCCGTGACAATAAATAAAACAGCTATACAAGTTCTTAAGATTAATTAATGGTTTGGATTTACTCTTTTGTACTAAATTTAAAAAAAATTTTAAAAAATTAAAAAACTTGATGTTTCGAGTTACGAAAGCATACCAATGATGTTCAACACCACAGTTGCTATACTGCATCTCAAAAACCAACTAAGTAACTAGGTCGGGTGTTTTATGTTAACTAAGTTTTCATAATAAACTTATATATGGTGTTGAATATCGCTGGTGCGCTTTAGCATCGTAATTTTTTTTTGCCTTATTATAAATCGCACCAGTGGTGATGAACACCATAATTTTTTATTATGTGTTGTCAATACTTAAGATTAGGGTTAAAAATCAAGATAAAATTAGAAGTTCTAGACTAAAAATTAAAGCTAATAATAAAGTTGGGGTAAGGTTTTTGGGTTGCTGAACATTTTTGTTTAATACATCCGGCTTTGGTTATTTATTTAGACAGTTTTTGAGAAATAGCAACTGTGGTGTTAAATACTACTGGTGTGATTTTTATCAATGCCGTTTTTTTTTATATAAAATTTTAATAAATAGGGTGCCTCATAATAAAAGGCCTATTTTGGTAAATTTTTAAAAAGTTTTTTTATCTAATTTTTAGTATGAAAATTATTTCTAACTTTTTTATTATCTTTATTATCTGAGCTTTTTAAGATTTTGCACTTTTATTTAAAATAGCTTTAACTTATTTATTTGTGTAGTTGTTTTTGTATTTACTATTATTTTTTTTGCTAATATACTACTGTATATATTTTTTTATTTTTTATATTTGGTAGTCCTGTTTTTATTGTTTTATTGTTAACAAATATATATAATTTTTTATACTATATTTTTATACTAAAGAAGATTTACTGGTTTTATAGCCCAGGTATAACTCTATCTAGCAGCAATTTGCTTCATGTTTAATCCTCAACTTTTTAAGAATTTGGTTTTTCTAATTGTTTTATATATTTCATTAAAAAGTCAAATAAAAGAAAATATAAAAAAAAAAAAAAAATACAGAGACATAAAGAAATATGATAAAATATACAAGCAAAAAGAAACAAAACATCAACTCTTCCTAACAATCACTTGTATCAACTATTACTAAAAACAAGTTAAAGACTCAAGATCAGAAGTTAACAACAACTTGAAGTTTTCTCAATATGAACTATTGTTGATGAAGTTTTTAAACATTATATACTAGGGAATAGGTATTTTGAATAGTTTGTAAAAATTCAAGTCTGGTTTATCTTCTTTTACAAGTAGACTCCTTTATATTTGATATCTGAACTAGAGAAGTTTCTAAAAACAGCAAGTAAAAAAGAAAATTTAAGAAGTTTGAAAACGAAAGAACATAATGAATTTTTGAAAAAATTTTTTTTGATTAGAAACTTGCAAGATTACAACTTCTCTCACCACTTTAATATTTCTAAACTTAATTTTTGACAAAAAGTGAGATTTGACTATTTCTGGAGGTTGTCTAAAGCTATGTCTATTATATGACTTAAAGCCAATAGAATTGTTTATTTTAATTAACACAGATCATCCTGAAAAGACAAAAAACAACAAAAAAAAAGTGAAAATCACAAAAAATACAAGAAATAATAGTCTAAACCCATCTTGTTGCATTAATAAAAAATATTGAAAGAACAATTTTACTATAAAATATATCCTAATTCTAACTCCAAACCTAACTTTAATTAAAAAATAAAAAACACATGACTGAACACGGCTTTAGATATCCCCTATTTCTGTAAAAGGTCGATATTGTTTGCTGCTTCTATATTTAGCAACTCTGTGATATGACTACAATAAACATATAGCAATATAGAGGATATTTTCAATTTAAAAACATTGCTCTGTATGATTAAAAATTCAAATAATATATTTACACTTCTAGTAAATAAATAAAGATAGTAAAAATATATGAAGTTTATGATTTGTTATATTTTAAAATAGAATATGGATTTAATATTAGAGCAATAAAGAAAATTTAAAATATACAATCTAATAACAAAAGTTATATGCATATAATTTTTATATCTTTATACAAATCAAAGTATATTTAATTTAGTTTTTCTTATATGTTATATAAAACTATAATCATATAGAGAAGTATTCTGATTAGCAAGTACCAATTTGTTAAATAGATTCTTTAGTTTTATATTATACTTTAAATTCCTTTTATTAGTGTAGTTATTTTTTTGTT